AATTCTCTCCTCAGATAAGTGTGAAATGTGCTATATGTGGGGCAGATTTACCCAAGATGTTGCTTCTCTCTGCAATCCATCTCTGACCCTTTCCTAGTTTTACAGCGATAGGAGCAGGCCCTTTAATGCAGATACAGCTGCCACTTTTGACATATGTCCATTTTCTACTTACCTTACTGTAGCTAGGCTACAGTTCTGAGGGCGACTGACCTAAGTAATTCTCCTTTCCTCCCCACACACCCATATGGACCTGTGAGCTGCGGAAACTCTCTTGAATGTGATGGGAAAGAAGTGACCTTCCATTCTCCTGTAGATCCTGGTTCCAACAATACTCATGGGGACCTAATGAAGAAATGTCCTAAATCTCAAGTTTCTAGTTCATTGGAAACACAAAAATGAGCTGTACCACTTTCTGATTGCACTGTACATACTGAGTACGCTCTCGGAGCCTCAGCTGAACCCCCTCTGCCCTGCACAGCTCTGCACAGGGGGTACAATCGGGCTGGGACACCACTGCGACCCAAGCCCTGGAGAAGGCAGCAGTGGCACGCTCTGCTCTGGGGGCTGTGCTCCATGCGACACACACGGCACCCCTGGGGTTCGTAAGCAAAGCAGAAGCTGAAGCTACCCACAGCTCTCCTCCTCCTTCAAGCATCCCACTGTGTTTATAGGCAGTTACTGTATTTTTAATTGCCACAGAGACTACAGGCAAACCCACACCAGACTATCTGTTTATAATGTAACACATAAACCAGGAAGCCTACACGAAAGCGGCATTGATTTTTTTCACTTATGTCTTCCCTTATTGTTGTTTTTAATGGCTATTGGCCAACCAATTTTGTATTTAGTCTTATGACACCCCAAATGTGAAAGCTGTTGTGCAGTGAGCATGCTCCTCTCAGATCTGAAGAGCTCTGCAGAGGGATGCAGCTGTGGCTGTACTGAAAACCTGCAGACCATCTTCCTAAATCTCAAAATTTCAGACACAAAAGTCAAGCCATAGCCAGTGCTTACACTGGACAGAGTTCAGTCAATCAGATTACCCTTCTTAAATCCTATGGATGATTTACTTAAAGTTGTCTTTGACAGTTTGTCTGGCATTGTAAAATTCTGGGGACTGCATTCTCTACTGTAATATTGCTTCTGCTTTGAGAGATGCCTCCACTCAACACAGAGATTGCCTTGGAGCCTAACCTTTATGACTGTGTTTGGAGACAGTGTCCTTTTGATAAAAGCATCCGGTCTCTGGAATAAACAGGTCTTTTGTAAAGTTTCCCCATTTTGATCCTGAATGGAGTTTCTTCCTCCTAATATTCCCCTAGGAGATTTTCTTCTAAATGGACACAAAGCCACTCTAGTCTGAAATACAGCTTGTTATCTTGGGAATAAGAAAAACATATTTCTTAACTCAAAACCATGTCTCTAAATACACGGTTGAACAGGCTAAAGCATACTGTTAGTTCTCAGAAGAAAATGTTCCGTTTATGAGAACAAAATTTTATATCTATCTGTGAAGTAATACTGGAATATTTTAGCATCAAGGGACAAGAAGTGTGGGGAGCTTATGAATTTTGCATGACGTAAGTGTTGCTATCTGCATGCTTGAGAGGCCACTAGATGATTAAATTGGATATAGTTTTGTATGGAAGGAGGGATATGGATCCACGTGCTCAGTGGTTACAGAACTATAGGGCAAGTGAACAAACAGATGGTAACTTACAGAATGACTATTAATCTCTCTGCTTCCCCTTGCTCTGCAGCTGAAGCAACAGTGTAATTTGGGCAGGGTATCCACCTCTAGGGCACAATATGGGGTCCATCACAAGGTTCTCTGGAAGGGGAATGAAACCGGATGGGCTGAAAAGTGAAACCTGGCACAAAACAGGTTACCCAGGAAGAGTAGGAGCTGAGGTGTCCTCTTTCTCTTGCCTTATACTTACATACCAGGGAGAGACAGCTGGGACAGATCCTTTTCTGGGTACCCGCCAGCCCTGAGATGAGAAATACTTCATAGGGCAGGTTTCAGATCTTGGAAACACTGGGACATGCAGTTGTGCCAGATGCTAAAGGTATATGGAATACTCAAGGTCACTGACTCACAAGTCTGTATGTCACTGGAGGAAGGTGCAGGATATTCCAGCAGGACCTGAAGTCTCTGAAGAAAAATGCCAGATTCATAATTTTTAGATAAACCTATACTTTTTGAAGAGCAGTATACCCTGTTTCGAACTGGTTGAAAAAAGCATCAAAGGAAGAGAACTGCACTCACTGACTGGCCTGATAGAAGAGGTCGCTTTTATTTAATCCAAGCACTACCACAGATCCATGATATGCGGTTTCTGGAGCAGGGAACTGACAAGTTTGCTGAATGGCCTGGCCAAAAGCCCAAATGTCTGATAGCAAACTCAGCACGTGTGTCGACTGTTCAGCCGTTTACAGTGTGTTTATTTCTGCTATGACTTATGTTCTTGAACAAGTCCTAGTGAAGCTTCTGAAACCCAGGGTCACTGGCAAATGCTGCTGTTGTCCCTGAGAAAATGAAGTGGCAGGTGTCAAACATCCTCACCCTATTTGGAGGGAGGTATCACTCCCAGAAGGTGATGGGAGGGTTGACCTTTGAAGATGTGCTCCTGAGGAGGCTAAAAAAGGGAGAAGGATGGAAATGGGGCTGAGTCAGCCTATGCCAACCCTCCGTGGGACAGTTTGTCCATCAGTACTCCACCATAACAGGTCTTGGCTGTTATGTCTTGGCTTGGAGAGTCTTGGCTTCCCTTTGCTCTTCAAAGCTCTTCAAAGCCACCTGCAGTTACGCAGTCAGCATGCTGTTAACATGCTCAGATGTTATTGCCTCTTAGCTGAGCTGACTTTCTAGACTCCACACAAAGCACCAATTTGACTTTCTAAACTGCAATCTCTAGATTTGAAATATGCAAATCCAGAGTTATCTTTCCCATCTATGGCGTGCTATCAGCAAACACAGTTGGCTATAAAGAAGGCAAGTCACCACTCCCTTGAGCAAACAGGCTGGATGGATTTAAGTATCACACATATTTGTGAGATTTTTTTAACTACTTTATGAGAAGATAACAAGGTAGGCAGAGAAGATGGAAGGAAAAGCCTAAACCCAGAAATTCTTCAGCTGTTAACCTGGGGTCCACCATTACTGACTTTCCCTGCAGAAACTCAAGCAATTGCTTTTTAGTATCAAGATCAAAAAACCTCTGGAAATTGTTGCCAGAAGATACGTTTAGCATCACAGGCACCAGCCTGGGATCTGCTTGGGCAATTCCTTGTCAAGTGAATGGCAAAATAAATGGGACAATACTCTTAAAAAAGTGCTGCATAACAGGACTCCTCTTGTTAGACTGCTAAAAGGACATGATTAGCACCAGAGTATTTATCTTAGAAGGTATGTTCAGTTTGCTTTACCATCTAGCTTGGTTTCCTAAACAAAAGTTCCAAAGCCATTTTCAATATTGTAAATTAAAACAATTTTGCTCATGAGTATCTTCAATGAAATTAAACAGAAATAGTCATATTACATCAGTGGGGCCACATATATGACATAGTGTTTATGTGTGAAAATGTCTGCAGGATTTGGTTGCAAAACATTGGATTGATAGTGTTCAACTGATTGGCTAAAATTAGTTGATACAGTCCTAAAATCCAACTGCAAGGAAATGTTGATATCTTTTAGAAATATTTGTTATAATTTAGGATAGAGATTTCATGGAACTGTCACAAATGTATGTAAATAAAGTTCAAGAGAGGGACAATGGGCATAATACAGAAAAAGTGTCATCTAACAGTACAGAGATGGGCTACATACAATAATGTCACTAGAAAGACTCTAATTATACAGAAGTGAGAGTACTGTCCAGGGTACTGTAGAGTTTGGGGAACCCTGGAGGCCCCAACAGGAAATCTTTAGTTACACAGATGCTAATCACATTGATAGCTGGTTCAGAAAGCTGAATCACACATTTAATAAAATTACAATTTCACTAGGTTTAAATTTAGAATGCCTGCAGAAGAAACAATTTCACCAGCTTTTTGCTATATGGTTTGCCTGGCATATAGGTTTCATTTTAGACCCTCTAACAGTTTGATAATTTTTTTTTCCTCTCTCACTTGCTCAATATAAGAAGACATAAGAAGAGTGTAAGAGAGAACAAAATGCATCATTTTCAGAAGAGTGGGATGTGGGTATGGTGTTTTACATCTTTTGCAGGAACGTGACCAAACGAAAGAAAAAAAAAAAAAGGCTCCGTCCTGCTCCTGCGATGTGTGTCTGCTCCTAAACCAGTCTGAGCATGTGGCACAGCACAGCCGGTGGTGCAGGCATTCGGGGTAGCACTCTGGAATGGCCAGGGATATGGCCTTTCCTCTGGGGCAAAGCAAACACTGGGAAGGCCATGCCATAGCGAAACAGTCACCCAAGAGTGCATCTTCCCCAGTAAAGTTGTTTAGACTCTATCACCCACAATTTAAGCCTGTCAACAGCACTGGCTGTGCAGACAGAAAAATGGTTTTATGTATCAAAAAGTGCCAAGGAGCCGTTTGGACTACCAGCTGAATTTTTCATTAGCAATATTTCCATCTGAGAATTCTTTAGGTTGATTCAAAACTACTTCACTGGCTTTTTATTTCTTGTTTCACGTTCCACTCACCAAACTGTACCTGTCTTGCAATCCCTACAAGTATCTCTGATGCCAGTAATGTTACTCTGGCAGCTGAGGTTTTAGGTTCTTAACCTACTTAAAAATAATTCATTATTAACATTTGGGAAAAAATATCACAGAGACATTTACTGGTAGGTCACAAGTAAGTGCTGCCACAAACTATGAGCATCACTGATGCATTTTAATTTTACTAGGTAACTGGTCAGTTGCTGGGACTCACATCTCAATGGATATTTAATTAATTTCTAGAAATAGACATTTCTGGAAACATTAACCATGTCTTTCACATAAAGATCACAATTTCTGAAAAGCATATACCTGTTCCAAAATGGTGTTGATTCTGTCTACTTCACAGTCAATTAAGTATCTCTTTTCTTGTCGCCTGTCCATCTCCTCTATAATTCTTCTGAACTCTTGAACATCCTTTATGCTTCCTACAGATCTGGCTGTCACTTGCCAGTTGTTCTGTACTGCTGCTTCCATAATCGCCTGAAGAATGGAAAACCCTGTAGGGGGAAGAGAAAAAACAGCCATTTAAAACCAAAACCAAAACTATTTTGAATGTTTGACAAAGAGTTCACAAAAACTGGCATCATCTAAAGGGACACAGACTGGTCTGCAAGCGCCTCATTACCCGAGACGGCAACAGTGTAGGGACCAGTTTCTTCTTGCAGCTATGCCACCACCAAAGTCACTGACTTCAGCAGAATTGCTTGGCAGTATATTACTGCGAGGCGTATCAGAATCTGTCTAATATATCATATTATGATCCTCTCAGGGATGTTTATGGTTGTGCTGGGGTCCATGCCAGCTGAGAATAGGAGCTGCAGCCATTACTTGGGGAAAAGTCCATCAGCTTGAAGGGCCGGACAGAGGGGTAATTTGCCTGTGCAGACTGCAGCAATGGGTCATTAACTGGCAAAGATCCAAGCACTGCACAAGAATGCCAATTAAGTCATTGTACAGGTTATTGGAGCCACAAACCACAGGGGAATATTTTACTGATATTCACTTTGATTTCAAAAAATGTTTTTAAATATGGAGTCTAGCAGCGTTAACCACACTTTCAATGCTTTCATTAAGGTAATATCAATTCATTTAGCAGCCTCAATAGAGGGGAGAAGCAGCATAGAATAGCCAAAGACTACCCAATGGGAAATTATACAAGCAAACAACATTTCATTTTTTGTGAACAGCTGTGCCTGGGTGGCAGACAGAAGTCAAGTCCCTAAGTGAGAGAGGTAGTGAACTGGGAACAGTAATCTCCTTCATGTACTGCTATGCAGGAGTCATCAGACTTTGATTTGCATGTCTTTCATAAAGTATGTAGCTGCAAATTTGGTGAATTACCTGTTTTGATTCAGGAAAGTAAAATTTTTGCATAGTTCTCATTGTTTAAAATTTGGACAGATGCCAAGCAAAGACAGAGGTCATCTACTGGAATCACACAAAGTGGTTTCCCGTGGAGTCTCTTTGTACAGAAGCATCCATGTGAGATGTGTTTTGGTCCAGAATATTTATTTGCAAAACTTTCAGTTCAATCATTTAGGCATACTGTGGATTTCTTATCCACAGCCGGATTTGAGAAGCTCAAAATATCTTCACACACACAAACATACAGGATCAACAACCAATCAATTGTGCCCTGCGATAACCAGTCCCTTACACTTTCGAAACTGAAAGGAGTTTGAGCTAGAGGAAAAACACGTCACCGCTTCACATTATACCAATAGGTATTCTGAACTCAGATATCATAAAATCATAGAGTTGTTTAGGTTGGAAGGAACCTTTAAGATCATCTAGTCCCACCCCCCCTGCCATGGGCAGGGACACCTTCCACTAGACCAGGTTGCTCAAAGCCTCATCCAACCTGGCCTTGAACACTTCCAGGGATGGGGCATTCACAGCTTCTCTGGGCAACCTGTCCCAGTGCCTCACCACCCTCTCCAGGAAGAATTTTTCTCCCTAATATCCAATCTAAATCTACCTGCTTTCAATTTAAACCCATTACCCCTTGTCCTGTCACTACAGGCCCTTGTAAAAAGTCCCCATCCACCTCATTGGAGATCCAAGTCATTGTAGGGGTACACCTGTAACAAGAACTTGTGCTGCAGTCTGATCTTCCGTACCCTGCTGTAAACCTGTAGTGGCTGTCAGAAGCTGCAGCAGCATCATTACAGACACAAACAAGGAAAGAATGTGGTTTTCTAAACTGCAGTTAGATTATTATAATTTACCATGTGACTTCCTTAAGTCTCACTCAAATGTCCTCACTTTCCCCGTGCAGCCTCTTAACGCTTTTCTTTGTATGAATGCACTTTACTATCCCATGAAAGGTGGTGACAATTAGTATGTACGCTGCTTGGGAATTCTTTCTGGTATCTTCTTTCCTCTGAGACTATTGAAAGGGAGGCATTTACATATGTATAGTACAATGAACTCAGTATTCCTTAACATCATATTTTACAAAAATGTCTGTGATGTCTGTGACAGGATTGTGGTTCCATTACATGTAGGTGGAAGATCTAAGCTTAAGATATTTGGTTGGCTGCAAACGAGGAATTTTGATGTGGGAACATAAATACCACTAACGGGGATTTACAAATGCTTTGTGTACAAAGATGTGCTTTTAAAAAAATATGATACTGCTAAGTAATGAATATTTACAACTTTGTTTCATCATTCATGTCGTCTCAGTATGAACCTTGAGCTTGCTGTAAACAGAAAACAGTCCACAAGTCTTTTTTTTTCACTCCAAATTGAACAAAATCATTCAACGTATTATAAAAAACACATGTTAAAAAAATCTATAGTGCTATTTTTTGCTAATAACATATACAAAACTTACAAACTGTCTCAAGGAAGCAAGTGAAAATGAAGATGCTGGAAATCAGATGCCATCGGCTGACTGCCATGCACCCTGTTTCAGTTAACACTGAGTCAGAGCTTGCTTTGTAAAACCTTGAATATCTCAGAAGAAAGCTGGGCAATTTTCCTAATTTTGTGCAATGGCATGTTTGTGTGGGTGTGAGTGTGTCTATTAGTCAGTGGTTACCATTTCAAGAAAGAGAAGAGCAAGGTTACTCAGCAACCTTCCTCCTATGCATGAAAATACAATTACAGTAATCTTAGTGTGAAAAAGCTCCAAAGCTTCATCATTTCTGTCTTTTTTACCTCCTGTTTCTCCCTGTCACATCGTCTTTACAGTCACAGTCCCCTCTACCCTTGTCAGTTCTTGAAATCCTCCTATGGTCACCGTCTGTGCTGTGCCAGCTCGCCTCCCCTGGGCCCTCTCGCTCTCCCGTCCTCACTTCGAGAAGTACTATTTGCCCTTCCTGCGAAGGCTCATTAGGCCAGTCCTCTGACAACCTTTACAAAGCCCATTCCCCTTGCTTTACAAAAGCATGGTTCAAACCTCCTGCTTCCAGGGAGGCAGCAGGCTCACATCTTCGCAAACACGTGTTCACTGTTCCCAACCTCCGCTCTCTCTCCCTGCCTACTGCCTTCGGAGCCTTTTACTACATTCTCCATCATTACCCATTACGTGGTATTTCTGTAAACAACATGTCCCAGGCTCCAGCTGTACTTTACCATTAAGAGAGCTGTTACATAAGCGATGTGATTGTTTAAATAAAAGGACCATTTTATCTTCAAACGTGAACTTCTCTTTCTCCTTAGCATAACAATGCAAGCTGGGACAGTTCGGGGGCGCTGCGTGCGTAATGAACGGGGAAATTATTTTGCCTATTTTGTGCATGTCAGTGACCAGACCTGCACACCGAGCTTTTCCATTCCCTACCCTCCAGTAAACAAGCCGAGAATGCTTCACAAGAGATGCTTGCCCTGAGCACCCCAGAGGTGCTGAACTCTCATGGGTGCCTCTTATCTCATTCACCCTAAAGGAAACCAGCCAGTCATGGCCACCATCTCATTTTGTAGTTTTTCTGTGCTCTGCATCAGATCTAACCTGAAAGACTAACAGGCTGATAATTCACTACAGGTCTGTGAAGAAACCACGCAGGAAAGGCTTTCATTGTTACAGTTGCTTGTTTATACTACTTCAATTGATAAAGCCAAAAAATATTAGATAAGACAAGAAAAACTGACATCCTCCAAGAACATTACAGCGATGAGATCATCCCAATACAGCTTCATAATACCACTACTAGAATTCAGAAGTCATTCATTCTACAGTCATTAACATAAATACAGACAACAGGAAAAAATTAAGTCAGACCCCAGTCTGATCTTTCAAACTCTTTCTCCTTAGTCATACCTCGGATGTGAAAAAGCAGGAGGATGGAAGGCATACATTTTTCTGGAAGCACTGCTCCTGAGACTAGCTTGTCAGAGGGAGCCACATCTCCGTCACTGCACCACACTCTGAACATGTTGGCATGACTGACTTACACGTGTCTGGTCCCATAATGGCGATGCCCACACTTGCCAGGTCGTGTAACAGACCTGTATTACATTTTGGTCCCTTTTAGCCATGTATTGGGAAGGGGTTGCTCCTGTGATCTTTGAATGCAATCACACAAGTCAATCTGATCTGCACCTACTAAAAGGTTAGAAAATCCTGGCCTTAATATTCTAATGTGTCACTGTCTGTCTTATTCTTAAAATATTGATGATTTAAAAGAGCTAACCCTCATCTAAACAATGCAAAATGATTGGGCTGGAGGCAACTACAATAATAACACTGGAACAAAACAAGTGCCCAGCTTACTACTCAGTGAACTGAAGCAAATACTTGAGTTTTGCTGACTGAAGGTCGCAAAGAGGCAAAATATTCAATAGAAATTTCCCTCATAGGAGGGAAAATATTAGTTGTTGCAATGCTACCTCTATACTTTAAACAACCCAGACAGAATTACATTCTAGGCAGTCCTCCCTGCAGCTACCCTAAGACACAAATTCACCCAGTATCTTCACACTCCTGCCAGGGAAGCAAAGCTTGTGTCTCAGTCTTTCAGATCATCCCGTTGATACAAGCATCTCTCAACTGACCCTACTAACACAGGTGAAGAGGACATTTCACCCCTTTGCAACTTTGAAAGCTCATGAAACTGTTCCCACATCCACGTAAGCAAAATTCACCTGAGCAGTCTGCTCAGCCAGATGAAATGCAATGTACTACATCATTGAACTTAATTCGTTTAAATAACAGCAATAATTAATGTGTCATGAGTAAACCACCACACGGCAACATCTGCAGCGTCATGTGAGCCCTCACCATTGGCACCAAAGTACTTACTGAAAAAAAAATTACCCACTTACGTAAATCGCTCTTTTCCTGAATGTTCCCAGTAAGAACTTGGGCCTCAGCCTCCTGTTAGAAATGAAAGAGCGTTTGCTTGCAGTCCCTGTTTCTTTTGCCTTGCTGAGTACCCAAGATCTTTGAGGGGTATATTTCCCTGGCATGCAGCATGTTTGTGTCAGCTGAACGAACATCAGCTCTGATCAGAATGCTTGTGTTTTGAACTATGTATCTGGGACACGATAC